TTAACCACTGACCATTTTGTTAGTCTGGAGCATGAAACACGAGAGGCTTTTTGTCACAAGCAGCAGTGTCTTGCGGTTTTTTTTTTCGACCTAAAAAAGGCCTACAACACCACGTGGTAACGTGGAATTCGGCAAGACCTCGCTAATCTAGGCATTCGAGGCAAAATGCTAATATGTTTGTCTGATCTCATGACTAACAGAACATTTCAGGTGCGGGAAGGGACTGCACTTTCACGTGCATTTATCCTGGAAATCGGTGTACCTCAATGCTGCGTTCTTAGCACTACTCTTTTCATAGTAAAAATGAATTCAATTAATATCGTCATACCACCCACAATCATGCACTCTCTATATGTTGACTATCTTCAAATCACTTCTCGTGCTTGTAACCTATCAAGATCAAGACGCAACTTCAAGTTACTATAAACACACTAACACATTGGGCTGACAGAAATGGCTTCTGATTTTTTTACACAAAAGACGGTTGCTGTGATATTTACATTAAAAGAGGATTATTACCAGACCCGGAGCTTACATTAAAACACATGGCGATGAGGATAAAGCACGAACGAAAATTCTTAGGGGTACAATTGACACTAAACTGAACTTTTTTGCTCATACTATTGCACTCAAAATGAAGGCCCATAAAACGCCTAATACTTTAGAGGTTTTATCCCATAAGCAGGGTGGTTCTGATCGATTAAGCTTATTGAAGGTTTATTGTTCTGTTGTGCGTAGCATTTTAGACTATAATTGCATTGTTTACGGCTCGGCCAGAGAATCTTACGTTCGCTGTCTAAACCCTGTACACAATCTCGGTCTGGGTTTATGAAATGGCACCTATAGAACATCCTCAGGCAAGAATTTGTACATAGATTGCAATGAACCTCCGCTATGCCAGAGCCACATATATTAAACCCTCGTTTATGTTTTAAGGATTAGGTCACATTCTCAACATAAATGCCACAACATCACCATGCAATACCACTCACGCTTACACTACTCAAACAAGCCACACCTCATCAAACCATTTATTTTGCTCTTGCAAGAGTAATGCCGCACCTACAGTATTTATAATGACGTACTGAAGGTCACCATCAAACCACCGAGACTGCCGCCGTGGGCTGACCTGGTGAAACGGTGTGATTTTTCACTGACATCGATTTAGCAAAAACGACACCGCACCACAACATTTAATTCAAGAATTCCGCGTGATCCAGGACAAATACAAAGGTTGATATGTGGGCTTTAACGTACCAAAGCTACCATATAAATATGAGAGATGCCGTAGTGGAGGGCTCCGGAAATTTCGACCACCGAGGTTTTTTTAACGTGCACCCAAAGCTGAGCACAATGGCCTACAACATTTCGGACTCCATTGGAAATGCAGCCGCCGTAGCCGGGATTCGATCCCGAGACCTGTGGGTCAGCAGCCAAGTACTTTAGTCACTAGACCCCCGCGGAAGGTAAATACAAAGGTTATACCAAAATTTACATCCATGGCTCGAAAATAAAACACCATGTTAGCATTGAGATTGTGACAGAAGAAAGTGCTGTCAGTGTCAGACTACCAGAGTGCATGTCCATTTTCAGCGCTGAAATGTATGCCTTACGGGAAGCAGTATAAAAGTTATTACTGAGGAATACAGACAAGCAATCATATACACTGAATCGTTAAGTTAAATAAAGGCTCTGCATTTAAAACCTGAGTGCAAACCTTAATTAGGTGATAAGCTACATATGATTGTTTCAAACAACGAAAATATGACTGTCCATTTCTGTTGGGCTCCAAGCCACACAGCGACACCAGGCAACGAAAATACGGCCGAGTGGTCGTTTTTAGCAGCACAAACAGTTAAACGAATATTCCCCTTAAAGATAGCCTAGGTACTATTCGTGTAGCATTATCATCAAAATGGCAGCAACAATGGAACTCATGCACAAATAATAAGCCGCATTTGGTGAAGCCAACAGTGGGCGAATGGAAGTCTTGTGCTTACCTAGAACGATTCATTCAGGTCATCCTATGCCGACTCCGCATTGGGCACACTCACCTCACTCACAACATTTTGCTTAGGAGAGAAGATTTCCAGGAATGTGAAAAATGTCAACAGCAATTAACGGTTTTACATATTCTAATCACTTGTCCATACATTAAAACAGAAAGACAAAAGCATTTCAGAGCACTATACAAACACCACACACCGATGCACCCGAATCGAATTTTGGGAGATGATTCACCTGTTCCACTGTATAACGTTATCAGTTTCCTAAAAGACAGTGGACTCTTCCATATGCTTTATAATTAAAATGTATATACTGGTTATTCTTAGGTACCTTGTGTTTGACGCAGCTTAGAGCGAGTCGCTCTTACGCCAATGAACCCAACATAACTAATCTATTCGGGAGAAGGCACCCAGCAGCTTGATTGTTTCCTCACCTTTAGAAAATCGGGTAAGTACTATCATTTGCCCAGGCATAGGTTCCCGCTGCCGGACCCGCAAATCTCCAGGGCCCAGTCAATCGCTTTACGCATGCTGCAAACTGGCACTTACCCGTAGCCCTTAGTTTACAGTAAATTTATTGGCAGTATAAAACCTTACTGCGCCCATTGCGCTTAGAGACGATGCACGTTGTCTCACATGCTCTGGAAATGCACAGCGCTGAGCAATTTTGAGCCGCTCAGTACAGAGGACGGCTGCAAAACTGCAATCACCAGCTCCGACCAGGAGGTCCGAATCCAGGCTGCCCAGATTGCCCGAAGTTTGGGGGAGGGGCATGCCCTTCCTGTCTTAGTGTTGGTGCGGCCCGCAGCCAACCCGCTCTTTTGAGGGGCATCGGCTCCTAGGACAATTTGTGAATGAAGTTATTTGACTGACGGACACCCACGAACGCGCCGGGCTGACATGTCTTCATGATTTTCAAACGAAACGTCTTTGAGAGAGTAACACCATGAACGCTGTCACTCGGCCTAGTACCGTGATCACTAGTGACTCGCGTGACATCATTATGCCTATCACCTACGCATTCACTCTTCTAACCTGATTTCATGCATATCAAACGAAACATATTTGAGAGAGTAACAACCTGAACCCTGTCACTCAGCCTAGTGACGTGATCAGCAGTGACTCGCGTGTTGTCATCGTGTCCGACACCCATGCAAACACTTTTCAACCTGCCTTGATGCATATAAACGAAACGTCTTTGAGAGAGTAATAACTTGAACCCTGTCACTCGGTCTAATGACTTGATCACCAGTGACTGACATGACGTCATCACGCCTGACACCTACGCACGCGCCGTCCTAACCAACCTTCATGCATATCAAACAAAACGTCTTTGAGAGAATAAGTTGAACCCTGTCATTCGGCCTAGTGACTTGATCACTAGTGACCCACGTGACATGTTCACATCTATCAACCGCGCACGCGCTGTTCTAATCTGCCTTCTTGCATATGAAACGGAACGTCTGTGAGAGAGTAATACCTTGAAAGTCGTCGTAGGCAGTGTCTGCTATTAAAAATTGACCGCTCGCGCTGCATAGCCGTTCACTGGCCACCTCGTATATGTAGGCACTGGATCGCACGTTTCGAATTCAGTCAAGGGTGTATTTACTTGGCATTTGCTTGACTTGACACTTTGCTGACTTGAGTATATGTGATCGAAGCAACAGTATACCTTCGGTCAGTACTGGGGCACAACGCAACATCAGCGTGCCACCACTCAATAAAGCAACGGTTCTCCTTCATCTAATAAATACGGATAATAAAGAAGAAATAACAATTGAGCATTTCCAAACCATACTCAATACAGAACTTTCACGCGAGGGCCCCCCCCCCTCCCAATCTGCGACGAATTTATTCGAGATCGTCGTGTTGCAGACAGCTTTTTTGTTGCTTCTCGTGTTTTAAAGTATACCTTGGAAACGCGGGCATCCAATGCACTACAGTAAACGAACAGGCGTTCACCACCAAAGAGGCACGCTTCTTGCAATCGCGCTGACCAATAAGAACAGCTTGGCAGTAAAAGGTAGAGCGAAGGGTGCGACTCAGGTAAAGCGTGCATCAGCAACTGCTTACTTGTAAATAGCAATAGCATTGTTACGGTTTCATAGAATGGGTTTATTTCTATATATATATATATATATATATATATATATATATATATATATATATATATATATATATATATATATATATATATATATAATAGAACAAATAAAGAGGGCTCTCAAGGAATAGGTGCTTCATATTGAAGTGAGCATGTTGACGACTTATTGGCTTCTCGATGACAATAGCTCTTTGGCGAAGCTGCTGACCCAGACGCCAGCAGATTGAAATCGCGCCAACGTGAAACGGCTGCAGCGCCGATATGCCCAGTGGCTTTAGATCGACGGAACTACACTAACACGATACTACATCGACGAGACCAACTTAAATGCACGCAGTAACAAAATTTGTCAAAATGACGGTGAATATCCCGGCAGCTCTATTTGCAAGCTTATGGCCGTCAAAAGGATGGCAGGCCGTCATTTTCAAATTATGGCATAATTTTATCATTTCGATGTGTTTCCTGTCATTTAAAACACAAGCAAACTGTCAAATTGATAACATTTGTGCCAAATTAACTAAAGTTCGTCATTTGCGAATGACGGTATTCTTTCATAATATTGACTTTTTTTCCGTGAGCTCCATACAGAACTGAAATATCTGATTCACAACTTTTGATCATCAAACTGATCGCAAGTTGACAATTTTAGATAAAATTTAGAGTCAATTAACCTCTCGTTGTCCATTAAAACTATCATAAGACCATCGATGTGGCATTTTCTTTGCAATGTGACAACAGGCTCTCAATGCAATGTCGATAATGGCCCATGAGAAAAAGTGTATTCTGCGTCATTATAAATCACAGTGAAGTTACGTCGCCATGCCACTGTGATTCCACATAGGTAGCACTGCATACAATATGCAACGAAAGCTTTTGTGAATACTTGCGCATTTATTCTTCAACAATTTTGAGAAGGCTGAGTACCTTTTGAGCTACTCCGCTGAATCTGCCTTTACCGCAGCGTTTTGTTGGGTCGATCTGCCCCTTGTACCTGGGAACAAAAGCGGAACGACATAATAAATTTATGGTTCATAATCTGGGCCAATCAGATGCTTGGGCTTCACAAGTGAAACGTCGTAAATGTGTCAACTTCACTGCCTTGTGTGAGACAGACACTGTATTATGAAATTAAAGGACAGCAGACAGAAATATTGTGCATCAAATGTAATTGTTTTGTCATATGCTGAAAATATTAAAACATATAAAACAGAAAACGTTTATACATACAGTGTTGTGAAAAAATGTTGTGCTTTTAATGAAAACGGTAAACATGCAGCACATTGAAAATTTTTGCCAAGGCAAAAAATAAAGATAAAATTAGCAGCCTATCCAAATCCTGAAAGAGAAGCACCTTGGCATTAACGAAAACACTGTATCAATAAAGTTGTTTGAACCAGCATTATTATAAAAAGTAGTTAGTGTGACACCATTTCACTTGCGTGCCCAAAGTTTAAAGTGGCATCTAGGCAATTCGAAATTCTCTTGCAAAATATAATAGCTCTATAACTACTTCCACGTTCAGACATGCCTGCTCGATTTTTTAGCAAAATCGGAGATGGTCGAAAATCAAGCGCGTACGCTTGATATGAAATGACCTAATAGATTTGACGGACATGGCCACCAAAATGGTTGGGACGCTTGGCTCAGAATGACCTAAGTGTTACCCTTAGGTGAACACAAAACACTTGCCAGTGAAAATAGCTTTATAAACAGATACTACAGAAGAAATAAAAAGAAAATAACAATGGGCAGCAACAAGCTATCAAGCTCTCCTATGCTTCTTGAAAAAGACATGTTTATTCGGAAAAGAAGTAGTAATGCAGAACTGTAGTCCATGTTTGCTGGCATACGCACAATGCTATGAGACAAGTCGCTCATGCATTCAATGACACAATTTAAAAGTGAACGTATTTTACAGAACTCCGTTTGTCTGGGTCTTTGGACCTGAAGTGTCTGGCGAACCTAAATATTCATATAAATTGAAAAGCACTGAACTTTTGCATTTTGACGTAGCCTCATTCCTAAATTTGAAGTGCATCTTACGTGTGATACATTAGTGGAGCAGGGAGATACTGCATAAAGTCCCTCTCACCGTATACATATAATACAGTTTGCAGGAGATCAAGTGAAGCCATATGAAAACAATATTTTCGTTGGAAAATTCAGGATGGCGCATTGTCGCTAGAGGTAGCCTTTCCAAAAGCGTACTTGCCTTCTTGAAGGCTGAAGCCTTGAGGAAGACAAGTTTACTTGTCAAAACGATTGCACCAGTGACACTCTACATTATCAAATTTTCCATCTCTATCTTTCCAAGAACTTTTGCCTTGAACAACACCAAGATAAGCTACACAAGTCATGTTTTTCAGCAAAAACTATTTATATGACATACCTACCTGTGACAGCAAGATGAAGTGTTGCTGCCTCCTCTCCAGGCTCTCTTCACCTGCATGCTGGGAATTCACAAGCAAAAAAGCAGTCAGACTCGGGAGAAAAATTGTAATAACTTGACATACCTATCTAAAACACACATCATAACCAGACTTCTAAGGGTTGCCTTGCATTGTTTAACACAAGCAGCTGATAATACATTTACAAGCCTCCACCCTGTTGAAAGGGAGGAAGTACACGACAAAATAAAAGATAAAAAGACGACGTTTCTACGTCCATAGACGCTTTCTTCACAAAGAGGCCAAGCAACTGTGGCTGGGGTGCATGGGAGAGTTGGCCTGGACATAGAATTTCAGGCATAGTTCAGAAGACATAATTGGGGACCTGGTCTGTCTTTAGAAATGAAATGCACGTGTAACCAGAAATGGTAAAACAAGTACACAGAATAGAAAAAGTTGTGAGATACTGAGTGTATACCTCGCTTGGCAGTGTGATAGTTGCAGTGACATCCATCACCAAATATGCTTGAAGTTGGCCCGTCTACGCCAGACGGTGTCTTTTGACCCTTCAGATCTGGCCTGTTAACCAGAGACGATTGAAGCTATTATCAGTCAGTCAATCATGTCTATTAGACAGTTGAACGCAGTGACATGCATACAAACTTTCAAGCGCTTGACACCTCTCTTAGAGTTGTCCTGACCCTACTGTGTTTTAAATGCTCGCACATGTCGACAACACCGCACTTAACTCCAGTTTATCAATTCACACGAAGTGATATTTGCTGATTTCATAGGCAGTAACCTTTCTTTTAAACAATTCAGTCAGCGCAGGCGAATTATTGCTCTTGGTACAATATTTCTCAAAATACACTCTGTCTTTCCCTTCTTGGTGGGTTTTCCGCGACGTATCTACGCTTCCGTGTGCATTTACACGATAAGATCACTTTTGATTGCAATTCGCGAATCAGAGTAGAGTTGCTAGATCACAATCAGATACAAAGGGCGGCCTTTTATACCGGCTAGCGATCGATAATCAGAGTAAGAAATTGCGGAAGAGATGCAGTTTTTAGCGAGAGTACTAGGCAAAAAAAGGTAATCTTGGTGGACGAATAATTTTACGAATTCATGGCTGTATCGTCCACAATAAATAGAACCTCAATAAAGTGATGATCATCATAGGCTTAGAGCGCAGGTACTATAACGAACAGATGAAAAAGAAAACCAGTAAGTGCTTACGGAATATCTTCATCAGGTACTCTCAATGTATTCAACAATACATAAGATGATAACGCCCTCGACCACTCGATTCCGGTTCTTGCACCGTTAACCACTTTCAATCGCGACCGAAAGTGCGCGATAAGTGCAATAAACAGGCGCTAATGGTGCTAGTACGCTCGCGTTTTTGTTTGTTTTTTTCGCAGGAAGAGGACTTTTCTTTTTCTTTATTTTATCATTAGACACAAGCTGACGCCTGAAAATTGCTGCACTTGGTTCAGCCTCTGCTTAAAAGCGCCTCTCAAAGCGGTGGCGTCGGGCAAACCTAAATGTACATGCACGTCACTCGAATTCATACTGCAAATAGAGAATTGCTACAGACGCGCGAAAGAAGTCCACTCCACAACCCACGAAAATTAGAGCTTGCTTTTTTTGCTACTCGCACACTGGGTGGCGTGTTGAAACCATGGACAGCCGAAAAATGTGCACTGACGAAAGAAGTATAAAAGCACACTCACCTTGCACCTGAGTTTAGGCTCGAGCTCCAAGCACAACGCGCGTTACACGAGCCATCGTGTCTTTCCAGTACACCACGCAAAAAATAAGACAATTGGCACACCAAGCTCCACGCTCCCTCCCGACACAAAAAAAAACCGCCAAAACATCGCAGGTTGACATGCACCGGCTCCCTATGCTGTCACTCTCTTTTTATGACACAGCAGCGGCGGCCTCCTTTCTACTGTCTCGTGGAGGGGTAACGTCCAAAGCCGCGAGAGTGTGACGTGTCACATGACGTGCGGTAGCCAACCGAATTGCAACAGAAGTTTCTCTTCCTTTCTGTCTCTCTTCTCTGCTTCTCTCAGCTCACTAAATTACAGCGGGGCTCCGTCTTTTACGTTTGACGCTGACGACTCGTCAAAATACATGAAGAGATGGTTGTCAAAATGACAGCCTGTTTTGCAGTGTATGGTGCTCACGGCGTTTCGGAAGGGCGAATCGAGGTGCTCCAGCATACCGTTTGTCCAGAAGCACGAAGGGAGCGAATGATAATGTTGTAGCATGCACGTCGACGAATGGGCTTCTGCATTAGACAATTGTGGACAAGGTCCACTGGACTGTCTTCAACGACTTTCTCACAGAAGTGTCGACAAATGTTTCTTGGCAGGAACTGGGAATACAGGCAGCGTTTGTGTTTGACAATGCGCCAGCACACCACCATGCCGAACAGGCTCTCATCGCGGCAAGTGACCACACAGTCAAGTGGCTATTGCCCTGCAGCCCTATTTTGAATCCAGATGAAGAGCTTTTCTCCAAGTTCAAGGCAGGTGCTAAGGGCTTCCTAAGCGGATGGAGGGATGTTTTTCTCACGAACTGGAAGTGATCTCCAAGAAAGAACATCGCCGTGCTCTGTTGGTTACGGCTGCGGAGCGCTCTACGCAGCCCATCCAGCGTGAGACTATGCCAGCTGTGATAGTCACAATTACAGTTTCGTACAAGCAGCCCTCGACGGTTGTGATATGTAAAACGGTGCTGAGCCGCTAGAGTACGGCTGCGTGTTGATGCAAAGTGCTTTGCGTGTATAATAATGAAGTTAGTTTCCCACAGACTTTCACCAGTTCTCTGTCATCACCCAGTTTATAATCAATTTAACAAACTTGACGTTGTAGGAACAATGAATGAGGCATGGTGGATAGTGGACCCGGGCATCGTTGTCACTTCAGTAGTGTGATAACATGCCAGGTAGGTCATAACACTGTATAGACGTAATCAAGCAAACGACGCACGGTCTTCCTCTTTCAAAACATGCTATGAAAAGATTTGTCAACAAGTCCTTCGGCTCAAATTTTATTTCGTCTGGTTATCCTGCGACACAAATTCTTTGTAATAGAGCGCAGTTCTCGTACTTGCGTTAGATGCTATTGCTATTTTCAAGTGACCAGTTTCTGAAGCGCCATTGAACGCTGTACCTGACTCGTACCTCCTACGCCATGTCATTTCCTATATGTTAGTGTGTTTGAAATATGCGTACCTCTATAGTGGTGAACGCCTGTCCGTTCACTCTCCGCTCACCTGGCTGCCCACGTTTCCAAAGCATACTTCAAAGCAGAATAAGCAACAACAAAAATGACAGCATATTGCCACGTTCCATTTCTCAAGTATTGTTATTGCCCCGAAACCCTACACAATTCTCAGCGCAAACCGCGCCTGCAGTTTTCGAGAAGCTTCCGGACTTTAGTAGATCATTTCGATAAGATCACGCCCACTCTGTGATTTGTACAGATCATTCTGGAGCCTACGCCACCAAGAGGCGAACTGCGTGGGCATTGGCAAGAGTATCAATGCCCACGCAGTTCGCCGCTTGTCAGTAGTTGATCGACAGCTGACGCTTCGTTCACTGCTATCTGTGCAAGACTGCTACTGTAATCGGACTTTCCGTTTGCCGAGCACAGGTTTGCCCAAATAAGCTGTTAAATCCCACCAAAAAGTATCCTGTCTTCGGCCGCGTCACGACCCCGTGACATCTGGTGGATGTGCTGCTTTGTTCATGTATCGGACGCCGCCGTCAAGCCGTGAACCCAGCCGACGTCGCGGAGAAGACACCGACGCCAGCCAAGAGCAGCGAACAAGCCGCCCACACCAAAGTCTCCCACTCGAGTACGGGCTTCTACAAGATAAGGAGCGGAAGACTAATGCCATGACCTCGACTGCAGCGACAATGACAACCGGAGCGTCCCAGCCCACGATCCTCATTCATCAACCCAGGGAACCACCAACGTTCCGAGGGTCATCGTTTGAAGACCCCGAAACCTGGCTAGAAACATACGACCATGTGGCCGCCCTCAACCACTGGGACAACGAAGGAAAGCTCCGTCGTGTGTACTTCTACCTGGAAGAAACCGCAAGGACCTGGATCGTGAATCGGGAGTCCACGCTCCGAACGTGGGATGTCTTCTGCGGCGCATTCCTGCAAACGTTCAGGAGCGTCACTCGCAAAGCGAGGGCCGCTGCTCTACTAGAGACCCGGGTTCAGCTACCAAATAAAAAGCTTGCAATTTTCACAGAGGAGATGACCCACCTATTCCGTCACGCTGACCCAGACATGCCTGAGGAGAAGAAAGTTCGTTTCCTCATGCGAGCGGTCAAACAAGAGCTCTTCGCGGGACTAATGAGGAATCTACCGAACACCGTCCTAGAATTTGTATCCGAAGCGACCACAATCGGAAAAACCCTGGACATGCACACCAGACAGTATAATCGTTGCCTGACTCCAGAATGCACTGCTGCTCAAGCTAGTGACTCCGAAGACCTGCGTGAAACGATCCGAGCGATCTTGCGGGAAGACCTGGGCAAGCTGTTGCCTTCGGCGCAGCCTAAAGTGGATTCGATCATCGACATTGTGCGAGGAGTTCGGCAATCGCTTCAAATTCCCCAAACACCGCTTCCAGAGCCAGAAACTATGAGCTACGCCGCTGCAGTGAGCCGCAACGCTTCTCCCCGTCCACGCCTAAACACCGCCCCATCGAACTTCCGTCGCCAGACGCCACCGCCGCCACCACCCCCACCGACGTCCTACCGTTCGCCAGCGGGCCAGCGCAGTGCGCCGAGGAAAAAGGACGTTTGGCGTGCACCTGACAACCGCCCGCTCCACTACCACTGCGGCGAGGCCAGACACATATACCACCATTGCCAGTACCGACAGATGGGACTGCGTGGCTTCGCCGTCAATGCACCGCGTCCGCAACCAGGAGAACGGCCACGTGACATCGCCGACTACCTGACAGGAACTCAACGGACACCACGAAGTCCTTTTCGTTCGCCGTCGCCCAGCCGCCGCATGTCACCGTACACCCGGCAGTACTCTGGCCCAAAGCGGGGCCGGTCGTCTAGCCCGTATCCGGGAAACTAAGGGCAGCAACCGATGGAGGTGCGGTTGCTGTGCGACGAACTACCGAAGATCCTCCTCCGACGACGACGACGCCGCGACGGAGCTTTCCGAACACAACGCCACCCAGGCAAAGCCCTGACGGTGAAAGGTCACTTGCCGAAGGTGGCCTGACGACGCAGGATGGAAGCAGCGGAACAAGCCGACGCAGCCGTGACCCGACGCCACGCCCTAACTGTAATGCGAGACGGCTAACTGGCGACCTCGACGTACTTATCGACGGCCACAGTGTGACTGCTCTCGTAGATACTAGAGTCGACTATTCCGTCATCAGTGGGTCGTTCGCCGCGAAGGTAAAAAAAGTTAGGACAGCTTGGGAAGGCCCTGAAATCCGCATAGCCGGAGGTCATCTCGTAACGCCTGCAGGAATCTGCACAGCGAGAATCACCATTAACGGCCGT